TCAAAACAAACTTGGAGAGGAAAATCTCCAAGCATGCGTGGCGGTCACAATAGCTACAGATCCAGACCATACGCAAGGCCACAACCCCAAAATTGATTTCAGAATCGTTTTTTAGGGGAGGGCCAACCAAACAAATTTCGGCGTCAAAACAAGGAGACACCGCAAAACTCCTTCAGGGGACAAGGTACCTGGAGGGGCAGACAAAACTAAAGGTCAGTTTGATACCCAATGATTTCATTGGAGGAAGATTACTCTACCACATAAATTTCTGGAGAAGAGAAATAACGCAAGATCCGTGGATCCTTCAAATGATTTTGGGCACAAAAATTGATTTTGAAAAAATACCAGACAAACATCTGTCTAGATATAATCCTCCTATTAAAAGTGTCAAGGAAAAAGAAGCAACAAACAAACTTGTGCAAGATCTAGAAAAATACAAAATCATCCAAAAAATAAAATGGCACAATGGGTTAGTGATCAACCCAATCTTTCCAGTTGAAAATCACAATGGATCTTTCCACCTCATACTAAACAGCAAGGCGGTAAATACAGAGTGTGTACCATACAAACACTTTGAAATGGAAAATTTAAATCTAGTCACACAAGGGATCAAAAAAGGAGATCTCATGACATCTCTTGACTTACAGAAGGGATATCACAACATCACTTTACATCCCAATCATCAGAAATATTTTGCTTTCATATGGGAGGGAAAATTTTATATCTTCAAAGCACTCCCCATGGGGCTGAGAGAAGCACCAAGACTTTTTACGATCATAATGAAAGCAATCCTGAAAGTGCCCAGCAGACAACAATAAGGGATACAAGTGCATGCGTACATAGACAATACACTCATAGTTGTGCCAACTGCAAGAGAATGCCATAATAATACGGCAAAATTTCATCAGCTATTATTAAATGCGGGTTTTCTCGTCAACAAAGAAAAATCAAGATTTCAACCAAGTACGCACAGAAAACACCTAGGATTCATCATTGATAGTGAAAAAATGTGTCTTGAACTCCCAGAAGAAAAGTTCAATAAATTAAAATCAGATGTCAAAAAACTGAGAAGAATTTTTGAGAAAAATCAAAGTATTCCTCTCAGGAAATTTGCACAAATATCAGGATTTATTCTGAGTTGTCTACCAGCAATACCAAATGGTCATGCCCATTTCAGGTATTTTGAACAAATGAAGGCAGACCTTCCACAACCAATACAAAATTGGGATCAACCTATATATATCACACCAAGTATAGAGGACGAGATAAAATGGTGGGAAAAATTAAATCCACCATGTTACAAATCTTTTGAAGAAAAAAGAGTGACGCACAGAATAACAACAGATGCATCCACTTCAGGTGGATGGGGTGCAATTCTAGGGAGCCACAAAATATCAGGCACCTGGAAAGTCAATAATGAAGCAGCTATTGACCTTTTGGAACTCCAAACCACTAGAATTGCGTTAGAAACCTTCCAGGCCAAAGGAATAAATTTCAAAAAGGCCAATATAGTATTACAAGTAGATAACACAACAGCAGTGTCATACATAAGTAAGGGAGGAGGCATGGTCAAAAGACTGCATGATGAGACTGTAAAGCTTTGGGAATTTCTAGGAAAGCAACAGGCCTGGGCAAAATCGATCTACATCCCATCCGTAAAAAATCCGGCAGATGCATTAACACAGATAATAACTAGGGAAGATGCAACAAAATTTGATGCAGAGTGAAAATTAAAAGAGGACTACTTTATAAAAATCACCAAAGAGTTCCAATTGAAACCAGAAATAGACTGGTTTGCCACAAAACACAACTGACAACTAGAAAATTATTGCTCTTGGTATTTTGAGGAGCAAGCCAGCTGTACAGATGCTTTTTTACACGATTGGTCTGTTAATGTGGGATATTTTTTTCCTCTGTTTGGTCTTCTAAGCAGAGTACTGAGGAAAATTCAACAGGACAAATCAACAGCAGTTCTGATACATCCCATATGGCAGTCCCAGCCTTGGTGGCCAATGCTCATACAGATCAGAGCACAAACAATATCATTAGCCAACCTTGCAGAGGCAATCTATCTACCTCAAATCCCAACTGCCTGCCATCACCTCAGGAAAACTCAACTTCAAGCATCTCTTTTTCTACCAGCAAACTGGACAAAATTGTAGAAGAAACCATCAAAGAAGCCAGAGCAGAAACAACCTGAAAACAATATCAGAATTCCTTAACAGATTTGAAAAGTTTGTTCAAGAAAATGGAGAAAATGTACAAAATATCAACTTCACCACTGTATTGAGACTTTTGGTGAACTATACAGCAATCCCAAACAAATTCTCATATAGTTATATTTGCCTAATAAAAACAGCAATTGTACAGTGGCTTACGGAGAAAAACAAACAATCCATCATTGACCAAAACGTACCCAGGATCAATTCATGAAGGGTGCACAAAGAACATCAAGATCTTTTGAGAAAAAAGAAAAAATCTGGGATGCAGAAACAGTTCTAAAAAATCTGCAAAAAACAGCATATCCAGAATCGATTCTGCAACAAGCTCGGGAAACAGTGATCATCCTAGCAC